GGAAAGTATCCAGTGTTGTTCCATTTACGGAGCTGCACCATCGAGAAAGGTCCTTGTACTTTACCCGACGGGTCCTTGTAATACCACATCTTTTCCGATTCATTAATCTGGGAAACAGGTTCAGGGACAGATGTAGGTAGAGGTGCAGGTGAAATTTCTGACCCTACCCTAGGAGACAACTCTGCTGTTCCAACATGATGGGAACTCCGAGAAACAGATCCTGGCTTCTCAGGGCTTGCAGATTGTTGCAATTCTCTGTCTCTGCCTGAAGTCCACATACTTTCATTGGCTCTATCTTCGGATTCACCGACAGGATTATCCCCTCTACTAGAAAAACCTCTACCAGACAGATTTTTGCTTAGTTCACGGTTCCCGCTTGAATTGGTTTTTGTGCCACCCCATGAATAACTCGAACCATATCCTCCTGTTCTTGGAGATATCGGTTCCCGTCCTCTTCTGTTGAAGCTACTGCTACGAGGCCTGAGATATTTCTCTACACGGAATCGAAAGTGCCAAATAATGAAAATGTTGAAGATATGCCGGGAATAATAATAAATACAACAAACATTTCATTTACAGACCTCTTTGCTTCTCTTCTTTTTCTTCTTCATCCTCAGATTCACAATCTGGATCCATACTAGGATCAACATGTATCTCTGGAATTTCTTCTAACCTCCGCTGGCGTTCCTCTGGAGACTTTAGCACTTGCAATTTCTCAACACACTCTCGAAGCGTAACCATAGTTAAGGTATAGTCATGCCCACTCAAAGGATCAAATCAGATGAAATTATTTGCTTTGTGCTACAAAACGGTACTATTAGATGCTACTCACATCAAGAACAATCAATAACTGTAATAACTGAACTCGGTAAAGATTCAGTGGTAAAGGATATTCTTTTCTGCGGCCCATATCACTGGCACGATCACGCAAATGACTCAGTCGCACAATCTCTCCTTCCAGCAACTACATTCATAAAGAATGAGAATTTCAAAAAAAGCCATACTTATTTTAAACTTCAAAATCAACACCTCCCCTTTATAAACATATGCTATTGAAAGAAAAAGAAGGGACAGGAAAGATACAAGGGCAAGAAAACAATAAACAACCAACTTACATTTTTAACTCTCACTTCCTGCAAAGCAATTGCTTTTTCTTGAATACCACCCTATAAACAATTGATATTAGGATATGGAGAAGACACAAAAGCACTAATGTCGGAAGAACTCCGAGACAAACAGATCAATAAACCTCAAGTAATATGAAGCATACCACTGTCAGCCTGCTAATAAATCCACACTTTATGCTCTGCCTTAGACGTTTGCATTCATCCTGCCATGTCAAAACAGGAAGCAGGTAGTAAGATAAACATATGCAAGTGCAACAGTAAGCATTACATCATGAAACAAAACTCATAAAGATGTATTCCCCAAGTCATATGAAAAGAAAAAACGCTAAGACATAGACGGGAGAGTTAACCTCAGTGAAATCTTGATTTGATATAATGTCAATAGATATCACTTCTGTTTTGTCCAGGTTCAATATCTCGAGTACAAAGTCAGTTGTTTTTTTGCCAACCTTATATGGTTCAGCAGATTTGGTTCAGTGGCACGGGTGCCTGAGTGTTTGGTTGAATCGA